ATAGCTGATTTATAAAAGTTATGTAAACCGGATGCTACAACAACAAGAATAGTTAGTAATTTTGAAGTTATTTTAATGATAAAACAAACGATATTGAAATTATGCAAATGTACAGCGATGAAAGGTTGAGAGCGTAGCGACAATAATAGAAATACCATCGAAATAATTAGGGATAAACACGATAAAACTGAAATATGTAACGTTTTCCATGTCCTAACGGATCGATTGAACCTTGAACCTTTATGGCTCTTCAGTGCCCGCTCGTAAAGTTGGCAATGATAATAAATACATCCATATTTCCCTTTGTACGTTTCACATATATATATATATATATATTTAATTAATATTCTCTAATGACCAGAGTAGCCTCCACTTGAATTATACATTAGCAAACGTTTTTTTTTCTCTTCTAATTGAAAATAAAAATAACTTTTGAGTGGGTTTTTAGATAGAGCCATAAGTAATGCAATTAAATTATCCCGTTACTATAAATAGCGTCGATTCAAGTGCACAACTAGAGCCCAAGTGGATAAAACTACTTAAACAAATTTAAACTGTGTTTCTAGTTTCATTACAAACTGGAAAAGAAAAATCGATAGAAATTTACGTTTTTCTTTTTATTATAAAAATAAAATCAAATAATTCAGTTTTACATAAATGTTCAGTATTTAGTTAATTCTGTTATTATTATTACATAATTGAAAAGTGATTGCGTTGTGGTACATACTCATAATTGCATTAGCCTATATTTAATTGTACTATATTTAATCGGATTTGCTGCATACACTAATTGCCAATTGCATTTGGTTCATTGCTCAATTAATTACAATATCAATGTTTGCTAATTACCATTTACATTTTCGTATTTAATGCAATGATTTTAGTTAATTGTGATGAACTAATTGGACTATTTTATTTGCTTGTTACAGAATTATTCACGAAAGTGGCTTTACAAGTGAGGACTTTAAGCAATATCGACCGGTCGTCTACAGTAACACCATACAGTCTCTGGTCGCCATCCTGAGGGCGATGCCTAATTTGAGCATTAGCTATGGGAATAACGAGCGAGAGGTAAGGGAAATAATCAGGAGCGCTAACGAACTAAAACTAATACAGTTCACGTAAACAAAATCGATACGGTTACGGCCGTTAGGGTCGTTTTAAATTATCTTCAAAGGGCAACCGCAAATACATTATACTGAGAAACCAACCCTCACAGGATTTCCTGATAAATGTGCCAAACGTTTCCAAGAAGCCAACACAAAATTGGAACGCGCATCGAGCAAAATATGTTTTGATCTAACAAGAATTTTCTGTGTGCTCGCTTTTCACAAACCATTCGAAAATGTTCCCATTTTCAATAATGGAAACAGCGATTTCTTGAGAATCACTCCAATTGTTAAGTTTTCTTTAGAATTGTCATAAAAAAATATACAAAATTCTTCATTCAAATAACTTGCTTTTTTAATAAGAATTATTCATTAATGAATTAAATCTAATTATTTCTATCATATATCAAAAGAGTATTTGATGAAATTGTACTCTCTTTATTAATTACCAAATACATTATATCTGCAATAAGTAATAAGTAAAGTTTATAAAAATTGAAAATAAAGAAATAATTTCGGTTTCAAAAAAACGATAGAAATGTGATTTCACATAGCAACTGATAATACTGCAAACATTGATATATTGATTTGTTTTTTTTGTAGATAAAGGTGTAACTTTGCTAATAATATGAGTTATATTGAATATATTAGGTCATTAAGTATGAAATGTCCGATTATTGAAGTACCAACTTTGATACTATATATTTTACTTTAACAGTTCTTTGTTTCTTTTTGTATTGTAAAGGTATTTGATCAGCCTTTCAGGCACACGTTTTAGTTGGTGATTATCTCTAAAATTCCCTTTGCATATTAAATATTCTAAAGCCAAAATATTCACCAAAATAAACTTATGGTGTCTGCTTGGTGTCCACTACAACTTCATGAGATAGATTATGCACATACTTCACATCGAAATCGGCCGTTACATACATATTGACCCAATAAATTGAAATTACGTTTCTGCAAATCAATACTGTAATTAGAGCGAACTGAATGTTGGCGGTTGCGATTACCGATTCCAATTTTATATCGTGATCGACCGTGCGGGAAGATTGGAGATTATCCTTCAGCTTTATCATTACTGAATCGAAATATGATGTAGAAGCAGGCATAGAAATGTATGATTCAAAATCCTAATCACTTTCTATAGATTCAATTGAAATATGTAATAAATTTCTTTTATAAATTTAAGATTAATTGATTATTTTGAATTTGGATTTAGTTGCATGTATTTTGCACGTGTTATAATAAAAAAATAATAATCTAAATCTCAAAGATAGTTACATTAAACTAGGATTATTATTATATTCATTCATAATTTCGTTGATAAACAATTCAAATAAGATCCTGGTAGTATTTAAGCAATAATGTATGCCTGAAATAATCGAGTAATTTGAGTAAAAGAAAAAACGTGAATTTCATGAGTCGATCAATTCGAAATGTTAAAATAGAAACAACACGCGAAGTTCAGAATCTGTTATTTCGTGATGCCCTTTTCCAAAAAAAAGGACGATTGCATTTCAGATGCGATAATTATTTTTAACCCGATCGATTCCACTGACGTATACTATTTTTTGTTTTGATTTGCAGATTGATGGTAAAATGGTGTTCGATGTTATCCAACGTATGGAAGACACCGAACCGTTCTCGGAAGAACTTCTCGCTGCCATGAAGAGATTGTGGGCGGACAACGGCGTCCAAGAGTGCTTCGGACGTTCCAATGAATACCAACTTAACGATTCAGCAAAATAGTAAGCAACCCCCATTGAATTTCATTAGCAGTCAACGCAAGGATTAAAATTACCACCAGAAAACCGCCTCGCTTTAATTTGGCAAAAAGTTCATGCTGCTTAAAGCCCAGCCGGCTAATCCCCAATTAAAGGATTACATTTCATTTGTTCGACTTACAAAAGCGTTGTATACTTTAAGCTTCAAATTAAATCTTTTGTATATGTTGGTAACATCTTGATAAGTTTTCTATAAGTGTAGGTGTTGAAAAAACTAATTCAATTTACATATGCGATACAATATTGAGTAGCGAAATGACAGCTGCCACCTTGCGTCAAAGCTAATGGGTCGCGAAATGACAGCTGTCAAATGTTTTATATAATATACAAAACGCGTACAATTCAATAGCTGTATGTTAAGTGAATATGCATTAAATCGGATAAATGAATGCAATTGCGTTCACTAATGCGAAAATACACTCCACCGTATAATGTTTCGGATGATTCAATTTAATTTCACTAAGACATTTCTTTGCTTAATCGAGTATAAGCTATATATAATTGTACGCACAAACAAATATACGTATTCCACTTCGATAATAGAACGTACATTCGATAATACGTACATGCTTACGTATTAGCGAATATTTTTTTTCTACTTTGCACTAAATCTTTCTTAATACTGTGTTTAGCTTCCTCGATGATTTAGATAGACTGGGTGCTAAGGACTACCAACCAACAGAACAAGATATCTTGCGTACAAGAGTAAAAACCACCGGTATAGTGGAAGTGCACTTCTCCTTCAAGAATCTAAACTTCAAGTGAGTTTATTTGCATAATCCACGTTAGCTTTTTAATCTAAACTGACTATGTTATGCTTCGTTTCAAGACTGTTCGACGTAGGTGGTCAGAGGTCGGAGAGGAAGAAGTGGATCCACTGTTTCGAGGATGTAACTGCAATCATCTTCTGCGTGGCGATGAGCGAATATGACCAGGTTTTGCACGAAGATGAGACGACGGTAAGGACACATCTGTCTTTAAATACGAATAATCGATCTGCGAAGAATCTTCTATTTTGATTTTATATTGTAAAGGTGTAATTAGGAAAGTGAAATCGGTGTAATTAGGATCGTTATTAATAGTTCAATTATGCAACGACGAACCACTCTCGGGATCTCAGACATGAGTGAATAATGTATCGATTTATAAAGCAATCGAGAATTTAAGAGCTTGCACGTTTTCGCTTCGTCATTTATTTATTTTTATATAACAAAAACCTTTTATCATATAGCAAAAAAAATAATTTGATCATTCAAACAAATTGATTTTTTTTATTATCCAAGAAAATAATTTGAAATTCCGATAAATACAAAATAAATCAGTTATTGAACTCTACATGAACTCATACATGTTAGTATACGAAACGCTCGTACTTAGAAATAGATAAGAAATAGATAAGAAGTTGTCTATGCACATAAGACTTATTATGTTTACCTTAATATTGGGTAACTTTTATAGGAATGTTTATATATTTTTTTTTATTTAGATCAATATCAACAATATTGTTTTTTTTTTCAACTTCAAATCCGGAGAGGAAAATTGTAATATTATCTGAAATATCAAATCTTAAAATACATCTCATGTGTTCAAAATTTGAAAGAAAATGTATATTTTTTTTATTATTATAATATTGATACTTTTTTTTATCTTACACAAAAAAAAATTACATTTTATGTGGATCTTACTTTAAACATATCTCCGACCACACCCATTTTGGAAATATACTTCAAAATATGAAACACATGTGAACTCTATTAAATTCAATCTTCTCGACTTAATTTAATAATTATTACAAAGTTTAAATTTAATTAAAAAAAGGTTTTTTTTTTTTGGAATTTCAATTTTTTGATATAGTTTGTTGATCTGTCAGATACTTGGCACTTCGACCACGCCTATTTCTGGCAATACGAACATTAAAGCCTGAATATCTGAGAATAAACAGAGTACTCAAACTTGCTATTAGCGTAAGTGGTTGTTCAGTTATATAACAAAACGTGAAGACACTTCATTTTGAAAAGTTTAAAAAACGTTAATTTAACATTGACTGCAGATTATAGGAAAATGGTAATAGTTGCAATTCTGGCAATATGCACATATTAAAGGTTGAATATCTGAGATTAATTAGAGATGTAATTAGCTTAAGTTTTAAAACATAACATAAAAACATTGGACTTTTGATTGTACAAAAAACGTTTATTCATTTTAGTTCTTAAAAGTAAGAGAAACTAAATAAATATTGTAGCTTCATATTACAATTATAGTGAAAATTGTACAAGTTGCACAAGTTGTGCAAAGTTTCTATGTGTATTTCATGTAACAAAGTGTTATTCGGGTTAGGTAACAAAACATGACACACTGAATAATGCAGACTCTGCACCCTTTTCAGAGTTTCCAGTTTGCCGTGTAGTTTTTGGGACACGTCAACCACTTTATCCGTGAATCGATGATACCGATCTGCACAGGTGCTTGCACCCTTTCAGTAGTCACGCAAACCCTCAATTTCAACCCAATATTTCACTCTTCAAAAGCAATTCACGACCTACGTTACATAAAAAATACAACTACAAACAGAACTTAATACCGAAGTTTATTCAGTTTTTTTTTCTTTACATAAAAAATATTAAGTTTTTCTATGTTAATCAAAGATTTTTGAGGAGAAACGTATGCGTCACCACAAATCGACAGGATTCAATGTCAACGTTATTTATAACATGAAAAATAATAAATTCTTATAAATATTTATGCGAAATTCATGAAATAAACATTTGACGAATGAATGGAAATGCATTCAGTAAAATAATATTGATGCGACTATAAAAAAAAATCATCACTAAATGTATTTCACATGAATTCTCAATTTTCCAAATGGATTTAATTTGTAAAAAAAAAAATATTTGGCTCAGTTCTGTATCGATTCGATGCAAATATTTTTTGTTATTATTTCAATTATTCAGTTTGAATGAAATTGGGAAATTGGCGATAACAATTTGCGTTTGTGGATTCATAAAAATAAATGAGATTCAGTAAATTTGTTTTATATCTAAGAAATACTATTAAAATGATTAAAGAAGGCTAAGCTTTTACATTTTGGCTTCTCATTAATCAACATTTTCACAATTATTATTCAACTACATAGTTGCAATTTACTATAGCAGCTAAACTTTTCTTCACTTCAATTTCAAGCAGCTCCTTTAATTACACATTGTTCTTTCAAGTCTTGCCTCTCTTGTTCTCCGAGCTCACGTTAATTACAAAAAAAAACATTGCTTTTTAATATTCTACACTTTGTCTACACGAAAATGAAGTAAATATTTAACTTTAATATTGTATTCGTTTTTATATGATTGAATGTGTGCACTATACAGGAAATCTATTTTGCACTAAAGCTAATAGATAATTGTGAATCCAATTTATACTATATTTTATGGATGGTAGAAAGATTTGTGTTGGTTTTATCACAATATCATCAAACTTATTGCATACACTAAAGACATATTGCACAGCCTTCTAAGTGTACTTTATAAAACAAACTCGGTATTATTATCGTGGTGTGTGATGTAACGAAAGCATATACTCTGAATAATGCAGACTGCGCCCTTGTGGAAACACTACTTTATGTAGTTTCAAGTGTATATTTTCAATATCATTTATATTTCAGAATATCCTCATAATATTTCGACTATTAAATTTATAATGATGTAAAACATGTTTATAAATCATGTAACAGTAAATGTCTTTGAAGACGTGGATCAATCGCCTGTTTATGAATGATTAATATAATTTTCTCTCTCTCGTACACATGGGAACTTGATGAAAGTTTATAAGTATTTCTGAAGAATACGACTTTGTAGTTGAATTAAACATGGTTATAATAAGTTTTAAACTTTTGGTATTATTAAAACTTTGTTGAGATTGAGAAACTGTACTTTATAATTGTTTTTTATGTGTTTCAGAATCGAATGCAGGAGAGTTTGAAGCTATTTGACTCAATCTGCAACAACAAATGGTTCACGGATACTTCGATCATTCTGTTCTTGAATAAGAAGGATTTGTTTGAGGAGAAAATCAGAAAATCGCCTTTAACGATATGCTTTAACGAGTTTGCCGGTAAGTAATAGAGTTATTGAATTGATGTAAGAAGGCTTTCTTGAACCAAATTTTTAAATTATCGAATACTTTCTTGAATCAAATTTGGAAATTATTGAAGAATTTCTTGAATCAAATTTTGATATTTTCGAAGACTAGAATCAAAATTTGAAATTTGGAAGATTTTCAAATTTTGATTCTAGTTTTCGAAAATATCAAAATTTGAAAATCTTCAAAATTTCAAATTTTGATTCTAGAAAATCTTCCAAATTTCAAATTTCGAAGATTTTCTTGAATCAAAATTTGAAATGAATGAAAAAGAATTTCTTGGATCAAATTTTTGAAGAATTGAATTGATTGAAGAATTTCTTGAATTAAATTTTGAAATGATTGAAAAAGAGTTTCTTCAATAAAATTTTGATATAATTGAAAAAGACTAGCTTGAATCACAATTTGAAATGATTGAAAAATATTTTCTTGATTCAAATTTTGAAATGATCGAAGACTTTTGAATCAAATTTTGAAATTATCGAAGACTTTTTTGAATCAAAGTTTGAAATGATCAAAGATTTTCTTGAATCAAATTTCGAAATTATCAATGATTTGAATCAAATTTATAAATGATTGACAAAGACTTTTTTGAATCTGATTTTGAAATTTTCAAAGACTTTCATGAATCAAATTTTGAAATGAATCTAATTTTGTATCATATTTGAAATGCTTTGAAAAATAATTTTTTGAATCAAATTTTGAAATGAATGAAAAAGAATTTCTTGAATCAAATTTTGAAATGATTGAAAAAGACTTTTTTGAATCAAATTTTGAAATGATCGAAGACTTGAATCAAATTTTGAAATTATCGAAGATTTTTTGAATCAAAGTTTGAAATGATCAAAGATTTTCTTGAATCAAGGTTTGAAATTATCGAAAACTTCTTTGAATCAAATCTTGAAATCATCAAAGATTTTCTTGAATCAAATTTATAAATAATTGGCAAAGACTTTTTTGAATCGTATTTTGAAATTTTCAAAGACTTTTATGAATCAAATTTTGAAATGATTGAAAAAGACTTTCTTGAATCAAAATTTGAAATGATTAAAGAATTTCTTAAATCAAAATTTTAAATAATTAAAGTATTTCTTGAATCAAATTTGAAATGATTAAAGAATTTCTTGAATCAAATTTTGAAATTATCGAAGACTTCTTTGAATCAAATTTTGAAATCATCAAAGATTTTCTTGAATCAAATTTATAAATGATTGACAAAGACTTTTATGAATCTCGATTTGGAAATTTTCGAAGACTTTCATGAATCAAATTTTGAAATGATCGAAGACTTTCATGAATCTAATTTTGTATCATATTTGGAATGCTTTGAAAAAGATTTTCTTGAATCAAATTTTGAAATGAATGAAAGAGAATTTCTTGAATCAAATTTTGAAATTATCGAAGACTTCTTTGAATCAAATTTTGAAATCACCAAAGATATTCTTGAATCAAATTTATAAATGATTGACAAAGACTTTTTTGAATCTCGATTTGGAAATTTTCAAAGACTTTCATGAATCAAATTTTGAAATGATGGAAGACTTTCATGAACCTAATTTTGTATCAAATTTTGAAATGCTTTGAAGACTTGAACTAATTTCTGAACAAAAATCTTTGCAGGTGCCCAAGAATACGGCGAAGCCGCCGCGTACATCCAAGCCCAGTTCGAAGCGAAGAACAAGTCTACAACCAAAGAAATCTACTGCCACATGACGTGCGCAACGGACACGCATAACATCCAGTTCGTGTTCGACGCCGTCACCGACGTCATCATCGCCAATAATTTACGTAACTGCGGTCTCTACTAATAAAGGACGACGTCTCACAAGCGACACAAACAGCAACAAGCAACAAAAATATTACAAACAAAACAAAACAAAAATAATATATATATAAATAATATGTATTCAGTTATATTCTATAAACTTAAAATTGAAAAGAAGAAACAAAGTCACAGACAAATCGGTAACATTTTCAATTCATAGCGCGCGCAAAGTCCAAAAAAAAAGAGTTGGCGACGAATGAAAAAAAAAACAAACAATATTTTCATGCACAATTCGTTCTTTTTGTATATTGTTATTATATAAATAAACGACGGAAACACAAACAAATTAATTAATAATACTTCACGAGTATTCGATTATATTAACAAAACAAACAAAAAAAGCGTCGTGATTGAAAATGTTCAAAATTTGAGTTTAGATATAATAATAAAAAAAAATACGCAACAAATATTATTAACAAAAACCAAAGTTTCGAGTGAGATATTCATATATATATGTATATACATATGCATATGTGTTTATATATATATATTTACATACATATTTTCTTTTCAGTATAAAAATTATTTATTGCAAATCTATTTTTTTTCGCTTACAGCCGAAGGAAAATGGTAATTTCGATTGCCGCCATCAGATTTTCCTTCGGATCTGATAGATTCAAGCGTGAACTTGTTGTTTTTTCTTTAATTTTTCGTGCCATTGTAACAAAAAAAATGTACTAATTGCATTTAACCTAACTGTAATCTAATTGTAAATCACGATTCCTTTAGTTTATTTCGCCTCTTATAAGTTTATTGAATGTTATTTATGTTAATATATATATATACAAGTGCGTGTGTATGTGTGTGTGCGTGTATATGTTGAGGATTTGCGGGAGACGAAGAAATGATAACTAATAATTGCACATTGAAAGAAGAAAATTTTTTTTTTTCGTTTCCTTCATTCTTTACTTTAATATTAAGTCTAATAATGTTACAAATACCGAGAGAATACAAGTATATATATACTAAATATATATTGAAATCGATGTGAGTGAACACGAGGAGCGGAACCAAAGGAGGAAAAATTAACTACTACGATTTATCTGGCTCAAAATTTAGTTCGAGTATAAATATATTTAAAAACAAACAAAAAAAGAAGAAGTCTATATTATACTTATTAAATATAATAATGATATCTGTATAAGTGTATTTATTTTTCGTTTAGGTTGGCCGCGGTATAATTTCAAAAATCGAATAAAAGCGAACAACATAACGGCTTTTGATGATGATGAATTTTGTTTTTTCTGTATTGGAATTGTACTGCGCGCTCAAGACGACGACGTTCATCAGGAAACTTAAGGACCTATTTATTAAAAAAAAAAATTAAAAAAAGAATCATTCGAGATAATTTAAACGAAACAAAAAGAAAATATTGTATTTAAACTAAACTAAAACAAAAACCAAAGGAAGAAGAAAGGTAGCGTAAGCAAGATGTATGTGTGTGTGTGTGTGTGTGCTGGAGAAAGAAAATAAGAAATAAAATCAATGGAAAAAAGCGCTTGAAATAATAATAATAATTACATAAAAGAAGAATTTGTTTTTTTTTCTCTCTGTTTTCTTTCTTCTTATCATCCGACAAAGAGTCTTTGTTGTTGTTGTTGCTGCTGCTGCTGCATTGTTCTTTTACAGACGATACATTCCTATTATACGATTAACTTCTTTCGTTTCTTTTCGTGCGCTTTATTTCTGTAAATCGCGGCCGTTTCTTTCAATTAACAAATTTGAGATTCTTCCCAAAAAGAAAAACTGTCGATTTTATTTCCAAACAATCTGGATTGATGAAGAAACAATCATAAACTGTATTTGCGGCATAAAATATACACATATATATATATAAATAAATATACATAGTATTTGTCAGGATTTAAAGTAAACATTAAATAAAAAAAAAACGATTAAAAAAAATAATTAAATTATAAAATTAAGTAGTTAGTTGCGGGCCTCGGAGGATCGTTGTGTCTTAGGGATGGATGTAAAATGTTGAGGCTCGGCTCGGAGGAAGAGGAAATCCGACGCAAAACCAAAAAAAAATTATTATTATTAATAAAGTGGATCGTAGTAACTTTCAACTTTTCTAGTCAGATTATTTCATTGTCTTTCACCTTTTTTTTTGTTGTTTTTTTTTTGTATTTATAACTACTACTCTGTTTTAATTTAATTTCCTTTACAATTTCATTGTCGCTTATGTTAATTTTCTCTTAATTTTAGAAGTGTAATTAATCGTAATAATAAAAAAAGAATTATATACAAAATCAATGGCAACTTGATTCTGCAAATGTGTTCTTTGATGGAATAATGAACCTTATTTGTTTATTCGTAAATTGTTTCGAGGTGAATGAAAAAAAAAACGATGAATAAAGAGTAAATTTGTGTGTGGTTGTACGAACTCTTCTCTCTCTTTCTTCTTGCGTAGGATGGATTTTCTCTGGCTTTTGTCGCGTCCTCTGAAAAAACCTTCGCGACTTTAAAAGGTAGTCCAAAATGGACAATATTGTCTTTAATAATTATTACTTAGAAGCGCATTTATATAAAGAATAATAATATAATAATAATAATATATATACATGTATTTATTAATTTGTTCTTTCATTCTTTCGTATAAAATCGAGCACTCTGTATGGATCCCATTCCCTGATTCGTTTTCTTTTTTTGTTGTTGTAATTCCTTTACATGTTGGATTCTTGAAGATAATACAATTTTATAAGCAAACACTTCAAATGAAAACAACAATTTATGTTGTTGTTGTGACAAGCTTCGACTGCGCTCTTTTGAACTATATATAATAAATATACTAAGATATATGAATGCATTATTAATATACTTATAAACACACGCAAATTATGACTTATTCTTGTTCCATTTCTTTTTGTTGTTGTATTTAATTTCTGTTTTTTTTTTTAAATTAAAGTATATATAAACATATCTCACATCATTCGTTGCATTATTTTCCCCATTTATTTTCCTCCATATTGAAGATATTCGTTGAAATGAAAGATGTAAATGGTGAAAACTATGATCAACCCTATTTCTGTGTATATTTGGAATTAGCAACTTTTTGTTTTAATTTGTTGTTGTTTCTCTATGATGTGAATATGATAAATAAAATTTACAAATTTCGATTCATCTCTTCTTTTTTTTTAGAATTACGAAATAAATAAATGGTGAGATTACATTCTTATTACTTATTAATACGTGTTGGAAATTAATGAAAAGAATTATCATTTAAATTGTTGAATTCTGATATTATTAAAAAGTTGGGACTTTCAGCTTTAAAAAAAACTGTGGTTTTTGAGTTTTTTTTTCTTCATATCTCGAAAAGTGTTCAACATTTTTAAAATTTTCTTTTTGCTGTGATTTATTGTGCAAATTCTGGTACAAAAAAAGTATGATAAAGTTGACCAAGTTATGAGGTTTTTTTTTTACAAAATCCAATTGAGAATTTTCGGTAATTTTGATGTACCTCGAAATTCGAAAACTGTGGTCAGGTATCAGGTTCTTTTTTCTTCATATATTGAAAAGTATTCAACATTTTTAAAATTTTCTTTTTGCTTTCGAAGCGCTGATTTATTGTATAAATTCTGATATAAAAGAAATTTGATAAAGTTGGCCAAGACAAACTGTGGTTTATCAGGTTCTTTTTTCTTCATATATCGAAACATATTCAAAATTTTTCAAATTTTCTTTTTGCTTGTGAAGCGCTGATATATTGTACAAATTCGAATATAAAAGAAATTTGATAAATTTAGCCAAGTTATGAGATTTTTTTTACAAAATCCAATTGGTAATTGAACAAAACTTTAGGTAATTTTCATGTACTTCGAAAACTGTGGTTTATCAGATTCTTTTTTCTTCATATCTCGAAAAGTTGGCCAAGTTATGATGTTCTTTTTACAAAATCCAATCCAAATTTCAAGTACTTCTAAATTTGAAAACTGTGGTTTATCAGGTGATTTTTTCTTCATATCTCGAAAATTATTCAACATTTTTAAAATGTTCTTTTTGCCTGTGAAGCGCTGATTTATTGTGCAAATTGTGATAAAAAAGTCATTGTCATTGAAAACCATGCTCAACACTTAAATATATCTCATTTTATCTGTGTATATTTGGAACTAGCAAGATTTTTTTTTAAATGCGTTGTTAATAAATAAAAATTTACCAATTTCGATTCATCTCTTCATTTTTTTTTATAACTACGAAATAAATACAAACAAAAATAATGATATTATATTCTTATAATTTATTAATACGTTTTGGGAATGAATGGAAAGAAAACAATTCAACTTTTTTAAAGAAATTTATTTCAAATTATAGAATATTTAGTTGCATTCTTCCACGTGGAAATCCTAGAAAAAAATACAGTTTTTTTTAAACAATTTGGATAAAATGATTTAGTTAATTTTATGTACTTAATAGTTAAAAATCAGCAATGATTTATACGCAATTTTTGATTCGTAATTATTGATTTTATCAAGAAATTTAATGGTTTCACTAAGAATTAAAACACAATATGTTGATGACCTTGCTATAATTATTTTTTCCACTAATGATGAAATAGTTTCAAATTGCATTCATAAACATTTTATTGCATATAAAAATGTTTTATTTAAAATATAATGAGTTACTTATATATGAGATATTTATACAATAAACTAAATACATTTAAAAGTGAAAACTTTTGTCGTGTTTTCTTGCATTTCTTGTTTACCAGAGATTCGAACCGGAACCGAAATTAACCGGAATTATTAACTGAACCGTAACTGTAACCGGAACAAAAACTTGCTGAATTGAAAAACCGAAACCGGAACTAAATTTTAATTACGGTTAATTTCGGTTCAAGTATTTTTTTGAAGATAAAAGGGCTAGCAACTAACATTAGAACAAATTCAAATGAAAGTGATTAAAAATGATAATACTGTAAACATGACCGAAGAAACATTACAAAGTGAATGTGTTGAAATAGTCACTAATTAAAGTTTATTTTTTGTATTTTCAATTTTATAATTGAAAACAATAGTAAAAAGGGATTTTGGTAAATAAAATTATACTAAAATTTGATATTTGACTTGATTTAAAATTTTAACTTTAACTAATTTAAATTGCTTTTTTTTAAATTTTAAATTTAAATTTCAACCGGAACCGAAACCGAATCTGGAACGATAAACATTTACTTAGAACGTAACCGTAAACCGGAACGAAATTAATTTCGGTTCGACTCTCTGATATAAACCAAAAAGAAAACAAACTAAAGTTGTGCACATTCGTCTTACTTTCACTTTACAGTAACAAAAACAAACAAAAATTGGATCTCATTATAGTTTTTATTTACCAAAGAGAAATACTAAACAGGTCCACGTTATGATTCGGTATCTTCAATGGAACTTCTGGCATCTATAGCTGTGACATGACTTCGGATCGCTCTCATCGCTGTCATCTTGGAATTCCACTTGCAGTTTTTCAATCTCCTTTGCTCGATCCAAAGAAGCGGCGTTGACCAGGAGGGCTGCAAGAGTTTGTTCGTTGGAAATTAGTAACTCGACCATCGAATTCAATTGGAACTCACCGAATGCGCCGAGCAGTAAAAATAAAACAGTTAGCAATTTCATGATCGCTGATCGGAGTAACAATGGTGCACGAAATGGTATCGTTGGATTATTTATGTGTGCGGTCAAATGACGAATGTAATAATAATCGATAACCCAGAGAGCTGAGGTCATAAATCGCGATAAAACAATAATAAATATTGTTTATTCGCTCGTTAATTCATGGAAAACTCTTGATTACAAAGAGAATGAATGCATGCATACAGGCACGTTAATTTCGAGGGACCCTGTCAGGGCCGTATTAAGTTTGTAGTGGATCCCAAGAACGAATTAAGTAGATGTTGATGAGAATTGAGTTTCGGTATCTTAACGAAAACATTTGTTAGTGGTTAAATTGTATGATAAATTCTTTGATGAAACTGGGTTTTAACTTAAATCCGCCCCTGCACGCACAAGTCTGACTCCGCAAGTCTAACAATACTAATGCGTATATTAACGTTATCTATTTTTTTATTATACCGTACGTTGAACTTACAAAAACTAATGATATCAAAGATGTTTATACTTTCAACAATTAATACACGTTTTTTTTTTGTAATTATTGCACCATAATTGACTATAATTATACAAATATAATTAAAAAATAAATAAAAAATTAATGATAATTGAATTTCGAGTTTTGATATCTTCTTTTATCGTTAATAGGTTTTTAATTTATCGTTAGCAAAATTTTATTAATAAAATTTTATTTTTAAAAATATTGACAATTTATTGATAAATGCAAATTGTTGCCATGCCATGATTTTACCGTTGGAAAGGTGAAACTTTCAGCTTTAATTTGAGTATAAGATGATGTAATTATCTTTAGCAGATCTCGAGTAATTCACTTTTATTTTTCTTCATAACTCGACTATTTTAAAATTTGAGTCCATCGAAAGGTGACGATCTTCTGTTTACGATTCTTGTTGAATTTTGATATTATCAGCTTTAATTTGAGTGTAAGATGATGTAATTATCTTTGGCAGATCTCGAGTAATATAGTAAAAATAGTAGTTTTTATTTTCTTCATAACTCGACAAGTATTCAACTCTTTTAACATTTTTGCATATGAAGCGCTAATTTATTGTGCAAAATCTGATATAAAAAAGTTTGATAAAGTAGATTGGTGAATTATGATACAAAATCCAATTGGAAATTAGAATGAATTTTTTCGTAATATCGATGCTAGAATCGTTTAAGTGGACTCGTTCGAAAGGTGGCCGTTTAAATAGTATGATTCCTATTGAATTACGTAATTATCGTGAAAAAAAAAAGAAAACGTGAAGAGGTTGCAGTTTTAGCAACGTCGCTTTTAACAGCTTGTATCGGACGACGTCAGAAAGATGTCAGTTGGCTCGTTGAAAAGGTAAGACTTTCAGCTTTAATTTGAGTGTAAGATGATGTAATTGTCTTTGGTGGTACTCGAGTAATTCACTGAATATATCAAAAACGTCGTTTATCGGTTACGTAATGAAAATTACGTAACTTTTCTTGCAATATTATTAACGAAAATAGTTTTTTTTCTATCTAATTGCGATTTTTTAAATCAAATCCAATTGGCAATTGGACAACATTTTCGAGTAATTCACTAAATATATCAAAAACGTCGTTTATCGGTTACGTAATGAAAATTACGTAACTTTTCTTGCAATATTAATGAATATGCAATAAAAGCAATATAAAGTTATTAGTTTTCAAGTTATTAACGAAAATAGTTTAATGTAATTGCGATTTTTTAAACCAAATCCAATTGGAAATTGGACAAATTCAGTCTAAGTAATATGATTCCCATTGAATTACGTAATTATCGTGAAAAAAGAACCCGAAAACATTGCATTTTCAGCAACGTCATTTTTGACAGCTCGTAGCAGACGAATGGACAGAAATGTGTCAGTGGGCTCGTTCGAAAGGTGAGACTTTCAGCTTTCATTTGAGTATTTTATGATTAGCTTACTTTGATGAGTAATTAATAAAACGTGTAAACGTCGTAAGATATCTCGGTTACGTAATAAATTGCTGCTTATTTAACACAACTTTCGACTGAATATTTATTACAAAGAACTCCCTGTGTTGCAGCCCATGCCTAAATCTGCACCTGCTTATAAATTTGTGTAATTATTATATAGAATTGGGTAAATAATTAGAAAAAAAAAACATCGGATAGTCACAATTGATTATCGTTTATTATTTATATATATATATAATGGATTAAATACAAAAGATATATATGATATGACATAGAATAGAAATATACAGTCTAAAGATCGAAAATCATGATATGCTATGGTTATGAGAATAATAGACAAACGAATAAACAAACAAACAAAAAATTTCGTTACATACGATTCGTCCTTGTTATAATTATTTATGCTTCTTTTTTTTTGGTAACTGGGTTATACGATATATATATAATATAGTATATAATAATATAATAAGGAGTGTCTGCATAGTTAATCCAATAGAAATAAACGTTTTTTTTTTCATAATTTTACGATGGATATAATACAAAAAAATATATTTATAATGTAAAGCAAAATTATAGAACAGCCTTAGTAATTAGTAAATTGTTTTTTTCCCTACACGCTAACGCTATTAATATTAAAAAAAAATAGCTTAAAAAATCAGTACAATTGAAAATATATATATAATGTTAGAATTATAATAAAAAAAAACAACATCTTTTACAAGTTATTTTTTTTTTGGGGGACTTGAATAATATATTTATACATGTTATATTTTTTTTTTCCTTTAAATTATAATTAAAATGTAGTATAAGAGTCGTTCATATCCCTAACGTCTACAATAATAAACACATTGTTGGCATGATTGCCTCATGATAAATCTACCAAATTTTGGTACTTTAGCTTCTCTTTTTCTATCTTTTTTTTTTGTTATTCGATTCGATTGTATTTTTAATAATCACTAGAAAATACACTTTGATGAAACAAACATTTTATAATTATAATAAAAACAAAACAAACAAAAAAAAAGAACTCAAGACATTAGTTTTAACGAAACATTAGAATAAAAAAAGAGAGCGGAAATGAATGAAACAAAAGAGCGAAAAAGAAAAATAAAAAAACGTAGGAAGAAACGATTTTATTTTGGTGTTTGAAACGAATGACAAAAATTCAATATGGAAATACGCGGATTGACGTTAATTAATTCTTTTGCTTCGTTGATTTCCAACGGATTCGTTACCGAAAATCTCTCTTCAATCTCTCGTTTCAAATTGAAACGAATCCTACAACAATCTCATCTTTGTCAACTTTTAATTACTATAATACACATATATTGATTGTACGCAAGTGTTTTCTTTTTGTATTTGTTCTCTTTCTAAAATTTAGATTACTTTAAATCCCGATATTCTTCCTCGTCCCGTTTCCTACTGCCATTTAAAATTTAAACTAAAAAAATAAATGCATATGTTACGTCGATGGAAATCACATCGCTTAATGTGCTTAATTAAATATATATATATAGTATTAGTGGTGATGAGAGTTAGAAATTTGTAGAAGAAAAATAATAGAAAACAGGGTCTGAGGAGGTGGTGGAAAGAAATCTCTCTGCTGGCAGTACATTATTGTATATGTGACTTTAAGTTATTATTTTTGTTGTTGTTGTTATTGTTATGGATTTTTTTTTAATTTTTATGTTTTTTTTTTGTTTATTGCTGGAAGAAGGTGAACTGTAACTGTTAAGGGGGTACATACGGTGGTGGTTTTCTGTAGGTCGGTGTGGCCTTGGGACGGGATTGGCGCCCGTTGTCCTGGGGCCTAGTGAAAGGCGGCGGAGGCGGCTGGTACGGCTCGGCCGAGTCATCTGTCAGTTTTAGAGATCCGCTCTTGCTGTACTCGGGCGGCGCCAGCGGCGGTTTCTCGTCCTTCAGGATTATCGGGGCCTTTGTACCTGCAGCAAATTCGAACGCACAACAAAAAGGATAATAGTCCTCGAAAGTTTTCAACGAACAGTTTCTTTGCTATCGTGCAAATTATACTTAAGCAGTTAGTCTTTTTTTTTATTTCATCACTTAATTCAGGGTTTCCCAAACATTTCCTGCAAACGAACACTTCGTAGACCCTGACATTTTCACCTTGTTTGAGAAAAACATTCATTATTTTAATTATTTGCATTCCAGGTTTTCACTAAACACTTATTTTGTAACCAAATTACGAAAGTTCAAATTTGACGAAAGTTATTTCAACAGTTATAGTTCATACATTTTAAGTATGATTTCGTATTAGTTAAAAAAACAATATTGTTTAAGTTTATATGACAAATTAATATTGCTCTACTTATAATAAACGAAGTAAATCGGGTATAAATCTTTAAAACAGTAAAATTATAGTAATTTAATTGAAACTATAGAAGTATTGAAACTTTTCGCAATATTTTTTTTATGAATTATTAGAAATTAATCAAAAAATTATTAATGTAAGAAGACAGTGAATAATTAGAAGAAAAAGTAACAAGCGCATTGCGGCACTCACTGTAATTTATTCGTTTGAATGTTAAGTGGGATACTTTGCTCTTTTGTTGAAGAAAAGACTAACAAACATCATCATCGATTTACGACAAATATTATATAAAAGTTAATTAATAAGGACGAGTTCAACAAAAGTTTACTTTTAAAGTAAACGAGAAATATTTTGCGTTTAGTTCGCGGAAACTAAAAGTACAACATCGAGAGTTTCGTATTTAGGAATTTATTCACTTCAGCGAGAAAACTGTTCAAAGAAGGCAGCAAACTTATGTATTTGTTTGAATAATATATAGAGTTTATAATAAAATATTTTTACGTACCGATAATTTGTAGTTCGATTTGAATAATTGGTACTTGTTGCATAAAGTTTTAAATGATTTTATCGTTATTTTTCTTAAATTAATTAAATTTGGTAACAAAAAGAAATATTTTTTTAATATAAAGATAATTTCAAAAACTTCTTTAAAGTCAATTAGCAAGAAATTGTGTGGTGTTAAGACTTGTAATACCCGTTTACTTAAGTGTTGATAACCTTTGGAATGAAATTTAATTTCAGAATTGACTTGAAACTTTCGCAATAGAATACAAATAATTGCGAACAAGATTATTCAATATAATTCTTTAATGTTTTTTTTGAATAAGACTCATCAATGCATACCAACTACTACGGACGAAACACTTCTAGCTACGCAGCCACCAAATCTACTGTATAAAGCATGCTCTACGTGGGACAACTTCTGAAGTGGAGACAGGTATGAAATGCGAAGTTAATTATGTTGTTTTTCAATTAATTAACTTCGTAACATACCTAAACACAACTTCGAAACCAAACAAAACAAAGAAAAAAAAATGATGATAATTTAAAAAAATATAAATAATAAATAAATCATAGAATTTATTAACTAAACATTTACAAAACAAGTACACACACACACATAGGAAAGAAATAAAATACACAAAAGAAAAAAAAAAATAATTAAAAAATATATGTAACGAATATATGCATGTTTATATAAAAATAGTAAATATTATTTAAAAAAAAAATCACTACGGTTCTAGGAGAGAGATAGAGAGAGAGATAGAGATAGATAGACAGAGAGTAAAAATGAAATGCATACACAAGACTTTACTTTTTGTTTGTTTAGGTGTCGTTAATAAATTTAATTATACCTGGTTCTGGTTTCTCTTCCAATTCTTCCTGGAAGATGACCGGAATGCCTTTGTTGCCGTAACTGGATCGTCCGTCCTCTTCCACGTTCATTTTCCCGGTTCTCCTGCGTCTGTAGAGGACGCAGGCCGCGATGCCGGCCAACAAGAGCATCACGGATATTATGACGGCGGGAACGATGAACGTGATCATGTAGTCTTCGTGATCAGAGAGTGGCGGTTCTTCGACGGGGACGCCTTTGCTTGTAGGCGATTGGATGTTCGGTCTACCCTTGCACGATCCAATCAACTGCAACTTGATCGTGGACACCGTGAACTCGGGGTCCATCACGTCCTGCACCCGTCCGGCGATGGTGCGATCGTTGTTCACCAAAATCGATTCGAGCACTTTGATTTCAGCCCTCGGACATTCCGACAGACTTAACGATCTGTTGTACCAACTGACGATTGTCGAGCCGCGGCTTATCGTGCTCAAATGTACGTAGCTCGTGTTCTGATCTCCGAAAAGTTCCTGAAATCACGAATAAAATCATATATAATTTCGTACCGTTTAGATCAATTCCGTTTACGCACCTGCAGTTTTTCAATGAACTTTCTCTGCAAGCTAGCGCTGTTCACGAATGTCTCGTACGGTGTTTCCAAGGTCATGCTGAATTCCACGTTGTACTGCAATTTAGGTGGCGCGTGCACCACGACGACGAGACTGTCGCTCGCCGGTAATCCACCGCTGTCTTCGCATACCAATTGATATTCGCTGCGACCGACGTCCTCGGGCAGAGGAATTCCGTAAAACTCCTTGTTTTTACTGTCGAACTGCAGCCAGTGATCCGAAGAGATCTGTTGCCTGTCGACGGTGAGCAGGGACATCTTCAGATTGCGCGAGTCCACGTCCTCGGGATCGTAGAAAGTGTCCTAAATGAAAAAAAAAAGAAGACATAATTCATTTGGTTCCATCCATCAAATAAATCGACGTTCACTCACGTCTGGCACTTTAAAGACGAGCAGCTCCCCAACTGTTGCGTTGATGTGATCAACAGGATTCCGTAGGATCGGAGAAAAGTTCGTCGGCGGCGTAATAGGTACGAGAGGCGGTGGACGAGGTTTCGTCTCGCACACCCCTAATCCATGATACATCACCTTCTTTACCCGCAATTCGGGAACCAAAACTCTAGTCAGTGCGTGAGACGGATCACCTTCATTGTTCGCTGTTAACACCTCAAACAGTTCTTTGATTTCATCTGAAGGACAATAGCTTTTTGGTAAAGATTCGTTTGTCCAAACGAAAACAACGGGTTCAACGGTGTAATTAACCCTTCTGACTATGATGTCCGTTAGATTTGAGTTATACAATTGTCCGATTCCTCGTAGCGTCTTTAGAGGCCAGTCCACGTCGTGAGGGAAGTTCCATTTCTTCTCGATGTGCATGTACAACGAGAACTCGTGGTTTACGACGCGTCTAGATTTGTGATGCTGCACAAGAATCTCGACCGGATCAACGACGGATGCACCCTCTTTATCGGTTGCTTTCAAAATGTACTCCCAACGGGAAATATCTTCCTCAAGTGGACTGAAAATTTAATTAATTGAAAATATGGTAACAATATATAAAAAAAAAAATACTCACAGTCCGTAAATCTCCCTAGTCATTGGATTGAACTGACACCAAGAAGACTTGTTCAGTGGTTTCGCTTCGTTGTCCAGCAATTCCAATATCAGATTGTAACCGTCCTCGATGTCACTGAACGTGTTTTCTGGAACGATGTAACTGAACATCTTGCCGGCGGTGGTCGCGATACGTTTCAAACGATTTTGGATAATCGGAGGGAAATTCTTCATCTCGTATTCGATGGTTTCCGTAGCGCGATAAGTGGGTGTCGTCGTTGTAGGCCTGGTGGTTGTTGTTACGTGTCTGGCGGTGGTCTGTCTAACAGTAGTCGTTGTCTCTTGCTGTTCCTCTGTAGTCGTCGTCTTTTCAGTCGTAGTAGTGGACGCGACGAACGTAGTTTCAGGTGGAATCGTCGTTGGAGGTATTGTCGAAAAGAATTCTTCTTCGGTAGTTGGCAGTTCTTTTAATGTTGTTGTTGTTTCAGTTGTTGTTGTTGGTACAGTAGTTGTTGGTGCTGGAGTTGTTGTTGTTGTTGTAGTAGTAGTTGTTGTTGTAGTAGGTGTAGTGGTAGGAGTAGTCAAAACTGTTGTAGTAGGAAGAGGAGTTGTGGTGGTGGTAGTGCTTGTAGTTGTTGTAATCATCGGAGTAGTTTCGGGTACAGTTTCAACAGTTTGAGCCTTTTGACTGGTCACTTCCACAGTCGGTGGTTCAGTGTCCACTACGATTTCGAATTTATCTTCGGTCTTGGTGTCAGGAACTATGGTTTCGCTCTCCGCATCATCATCGTCATCATCTTCGTCATCGTAATCATCGTAAAAGTCGTCGACGTTCTCACTATTGACTTTCGATGTTAGGGTTGGAGTTGTAGTCTCTAGAGTTCTAGGTGGAGCCGTCACTTCTGCTGTGATCGGAGCGGATGTAGTGGTTGTAGATGTCGTAGTTGTAGCTTTCGTTGTTGCATCAACTTGGCCATGGTGATGTCTATGATGGTGCGTGGAAGTAGGCTCAGGTGTAGTAGTGATGTATTTAGTGGTGGTAATTGGAGCAGCGGTAGTTGTGGTAGTGGTTGTAGTAGTAGTGGTAGCCTTAGAAGTCGAAGTCGTTGTAGATTTAGGCGTCGTAACTTTCGGTGGAGGCGCTACTTCTTCATTGGTACTGTAGTCATCGTACTCACCGTCATCGTAATTATCGTACTCATCTTCTTCGTCGTAAGCCTCATAATCGCCGCTTCCTATTACATTTGATATAAATTAATTAACAATACATTTTACAATCAGACCTTTCAATTACCTAGCTCCGCTTGACGTCGTATACGCCTGATTGATCTACTTTGCGTCTTGACCCGCCATCCGATTAATGGTAGTCCCATCACTTCTGATATGGTACCATCCTTGGCTTGCTGCTTCAATTGATGGACGATCGTCGAGGTTTTCGACCACAGGCGACCGTTACACCCAACGTTCACCTCGACACTGCTGGAAACCTTCGACGTCTTTGCAGATACATCACCCGGTCCAGCAGATACAACTGAACTATCGAGCAAATCATCTGGTTCTTCAAGTGGATGCAATTTGAATGCACTCTGTAAATTGCAAATTAAAATAGACCAATTTTTCAAAATCTAGATGTAAGTTATTCTCACGTATGGTAATCCAAAGAATTTGGCTACGCTATTGACAGCGACTACGCGCTGCTTAGGTTTCAAAGCTATAACATCCTTGTCGATGACTAACGAGAGTATCGTGCCTTCCTCCCTATCCGAACACGAGTTACTTCCTCCTTCTTCCTCCTCCACAACCAGTGTAAATTCCCTGACTGTATACTCTGGTCGACCGTAAATTCGGATTACTATATGAATTTCGGCGATGTCTTCGGACAAAGGCAGTCCCCAGAATGAGCCGGCAGTCTTATCAAACAGGAGCCACGACGGAAGCAATTTTGTGTCGTGACTTTTAGCCTGAAAAGTAAATGCAACAGATTAAATAAGTACCCTTAAGGTTTTTTTTTAAATACATTACCTCATATATAATGGATTTATCTGAACTAGGCAAGTCCACTTTGGGTACGGTAAGATGGAAAACCTTTCCGACTGTTGCGACAACTCTGTCGTACTGTCCGAAGGATTTCTTGTCGGTTTCCTGGTCAAAGTCCACCTCGAAGTCGTCGACGACGTCGAAGGCAAAATCTCCGCCATCGAGAGCGACGACTGCGGCGGAGACGGCCAAAAGCGTCACGATGGAAGACAGCTTCATCATCAACATTTTTGTGCGATTAGTCTGAAGAACCCGTCTCTCCTCGCTGCGGTCACGTCAGCATCGTCTGTAACAACACAAGCATTGAATTATCTATTTCTCTTCGCAAACAAACAACAAGTTATTTGAGTTTGTTTACCACCGCCGAGGCGGCGATAAGTGCACGGACATACACACACATTGAGTGGACTTGTGAATGCGTTTGCGTTCACTGGAAACGAGAGACCTCTTGGATTTCGTTTTAACACTTCTCGCTATTTAATTAAGTCCCACATATTTGAACGAGAAGTACCCACTCAAAAGCAAATTGCGAACGTTTCCCTTTTGTTTACCTAAGATGCGCGCTTTCTGCGGGAAAGACTCGCTCGCTCTAAAAGAGATGTTTTATATGGCTTTCATTGCAGCCGAGATATACACTTATTAATAACGAGTCGCTGCTGCTGCTGCTACAGGAGCAGTAAAAGGAAGGTACAAGAATAATGGAGAGGAGCCCGTGAACTTGCTTTGATGCACATGCCTTATTCTCGTTTTCACCGCATTTCTACGCCTTTCCGGTATTTACTGTTCGCTCCAAATAAAGCAGCTACAAAGTGGCACACTCGAATTTCTTTATCGATCGCCACGCGGAGACAATTTTCTTCGGGAGATCGACTGAACGCTGTGTTAAGTGTGTCAATATTTGCCATTGAAGGAATAAGAGTGAATATTATCTACAGAACTTCCCAGAACCGACGATAAACATGTATATTTATTTACATTTGTATTGAATGCATCAATGGATGTAACTTTTCATATTTTATTCCGTACGAGTACGAGCGGATGTGACGTAAGCGACGAAGCGCGCGGACCTCTTCTCATCGTCTTCACTTCGCCTTCGTCACTCATATTCTTTATTCAATTAATTTATTAAAATCGCGACCGGTGTATTCTTCGGCACGCGACATCCATGATGTATTATGATTACAGTAGAATGGAGAAGCGCTGCAATGCATCCAGGGAATGAGAAATTTTACATAATAGAACTTCATTAAGGCCACAAAGCAAACACGAGATGGATAGATTGCATGTTAATTGGATAATCATACAATTACTAACAACTTTCGTACTAACAACAGCACAGGGAATACATACATACACTATATTTTTACATTTACAAAACTTTTTTGTAATTATTTATATTCTAAATTCAACAATTCCGCATGCATCCACAACTTATTTCTTGGAAATTTTATCGTAAGATAAAGAAATCAAGTAACAACCAACATTATTTATATAAAAACAAAAAACAATGATTTCTTTATTTTCTGATAAAACTTCCAGGAAACAAATTAAGTAATCCTCAGTTTTCTCGTTGCTCATTTTAATTATTTTTTTAATTTCTTCATTTTATTTGTACTCTCTTTTATATTTGAACTTTTATGATTTGGCTTCACTTTCACAACTTTCGTATCGGATTTTGTGATACGAGCAAGAACATTGTTCAGTTCTTGTTATAGTGAATGTATGTTATCATAATTTAATGGTCTTGTAAATTGAAGTAATTTGTATTCCAATTTTATTACGAAACATATCACCTATATACAACATATGACAAACACAATTCACTTTACAGATTTGGAACTGTTGTTCCGAGTGAGGAACTGATTGGAGGAGAGCTTCGACTTGACGGTGTTCAACATGAGATCCTTTTGCGTGACCGAAGGATCGCCACTATCTTGATCCTCGAAGTCGGCGATTTTGAGAAGAACCATGTTGAACTCGTTCCATCGCTTCTTATTGCGGATCTCCATCGAGCAGAATTCGCGGCTGACGCCCATGCGCATTTTCAGGAACTCATTGTTCATCGTCTCAACTAGATTAGTGACGATCTCTTTGGTCGCTCTGGTTATATCAGTGCGCAACTGATTCAGACTGTTCTCATCTATAATGTGGAATGTAGTGCGATCGCCGGTCGTCATCTGAGCCATCTGACATCTCGATGTAGCTATCGAGCATTTGTCTATTCCTCCACCAGACACTATAGCTTTGCTCAGCTCTAGATTGCTGACTATAGGCGGCTGCGGCACATCATCATCCATTATGTCAACTTCGACGCTCGATTTGGAATAATCCATGCTGGAGTAGCTTGCACTCATGTTGGAGGTTTCGAACGAGATCTTCTTGATGGCGCATTTGTGGGCTTTCAAACCGCTCTTGCACGAGTGCAAGTATCTTTTATCCAAGCAGATGATCTGACCGCGCGCTGTCGCGACTGCAATGTCGTTGCCATTGGGACAGTAAGCGAGCGCCGTTAGATCAATGTCGAAGAGCTTGTCGTGAACGCAATCGCGCGTCCGCAAGTCGTAAATATTAATCCGTCTGTCGCTGCCGATCGTCGTGAAGGATTCATCAGATGTTGAAAAGGACATGTCTAGTACCGCTCCCGAATGGTTCTCCGATCTGAGGATATTGCATCCGGAGACTATGTCCCAAAGGGCGACGATGCCCTTGTCGCTTCCCCCGGACATCAGATGGGGCGTCCTCGAGTGCACTGCAATGGCCGTTAACTTATCGGATCCCGGAACGAAGAAGGTGGAATTAACGCTATGTCCAGTCGCATACAAGAAGATCTGTCCGTTGGCGCAGCCGGCGGCCACGAACTGGTTCTGAGCCCCGTACTCTATCTGATTGACGGCTGCGGGAAGATCGGCGAAGCTCTGCATCACCCTCTTGTGGGTGATGCTGTACAACATCACCTCCCCACTGACAGTGCCCACCACGACGTTCGGATTATCCACCTTAGAAAAGCAGACGCATTTCACACCAGCCAAATCGATGATATCCTTGGCCGGTCTCCATCTATCGTCCTTACAGTTCGACGTACTCGTACTTGTCTGATAAGTGGAAATCACCAAACTCTTCCCCGAAATCGGCACCGCAGCAACATGTTTCCCTTCATTACACCAGGAGATGTCCAGGAATCCCTTGGCCTTAGTATCGGGCGCCTGAACGCTGCCCAAGCAGTCGCACGACTCCCAATCATGGAACTTCACGTCGACCGCGCACGACGCTATCATTATTTCTCTTTTGCACCCCGGAAATTTTCGAACGAACACAAAAAAAACGAACGCACACTTTTCCACAACGAAAATTTTTGCTGGACCTCAAAACGGATACAGTCCAGGAAAAAAATAGAAATTTTGACGTTTCACATAACTTTTTTTTATTTGCGCAACTTCAATCTGACACTACTCATTGGCAACACGATCCGTCACATTTTCATGCAATCACTAAATGTATGTTATGAAAATTACAACTCTAACAATGGACACTCCTAACAATAAATGAAGATGTTCGTTACAAAGATTTAGACAAAGTCGATATTGATTTCTCATTGCAAGAAGAATTGAGCCCTTTTTTTCCTAGAAAGTAGTATAAGTCCACTTTTAATTCACATCCCTTATTATATACAACTTCTTCCCTACTAATTTAAAACCATCGACAAGCTGTCCATTCATTCATAGTATCTTACACCGTATATTACGCAAATAGCTTTGGAGAACTGAAAGAAAATTTTGAATGTAAAATCAAACTTGAAACATGTGAATTTTCCAAATTTTGGTATTACATAGACATTCTTAACAAAAAATTCTTACTTATTATTACAAATAACAAGAAATCAATTAAATGTGCGATCGTCGTACACGTGTTAGAGAGAATCTACAGATTTGTCGGTGTTTGAAGCTTAATTACAATAACGACGTCTACCGTTTTGGAATGCTCGAATACGGCGCCTAATGACGGTATTAAATCGTTCGGCACAATAAATAACTCAATTCCGAAAGTTTCAAATTACAACCCGTATTGGGAGGGGGAACGCACAAAAGCAATTGGAGGCGGCGTAGGAGGAGAGAGAAGTCCCTTTTTTCTCTTGTTTGTTTTAATCACCGCACAACCCTCTACTTCTCTCCAACCCTTCATCAGACACCCGACACCAGCCACCTCACCATAACTACGGTACGTCTGCACAAATTCAGTGGATACGAGTAATGAATCATCGTTATTAATTAAAATTTGATTGGATTCTTGCTCATTCACATCCAAACTCATAGAAGTCTTATTCATTAATCTCTTCACACAAGAACATTGTCTAGATTGGCATTGCCTTCAATTTATTATATAGTTTAGATTTTTCTTTTCAATGAAACTTTAAAGTTAATTCTCATTTTTATTACATTTTACTAATCATTAAATGTATTTTTGAAATATTTACAATGTTTTTTATTGCTATGATTTATGAAAATAAAATTATGAATTCAATTCTTGACTTTCGAATGTAAACGTTTCCAAGCGAATTTGAATTCGAAACGATCGTTGAAACGAATGTTACAAACATAAAAGAAAACAGTTTGCATATTATCGTTGCAGCTATGATCACATCAGAATGCAAGGAAACTTGGTGTAGAGCAGCTGAAACTCGGAAAAGCAAATCCAAACAATATGTGTTCACTGCAGCAGTTTTCATTTACAATAATTGCAGGAAAATTTGCAGATTTCCCCTATCTGATCAACGCTCTGGAATAATGTTAATGCAAATCACTTATTTTCGAAAGCAACAAGCAATCTGTTTGCTTAGAAAATTTCGGTAGAACATCTGTAAAAATAATACATATATATATAACGTTTTCGTGGCGCAGCTGCATTATTCAGCACCGGTGTTTACTATTCACGATTTTCTTCAGTTGGATGCATTATGCAGTGAATTTACTTTGTAAACTACATTAACTTTTGTGTGAAGAAAACATCATTGATAATTTTCATCTTAATGTTTGAATTCATCTAAATATTTGGAATGTTGGAACAATTATTTTATGAGCTGTTAACACTCTGTGAAATTGTACGATAGGTATCGAATGCGAAAATGAATAATTCATAGAAACATGATAAATAGGACTAGGCTGCTAATATACTAATTTATAACGAGCCTGCTGCGATTGTTTTATAGGGAGAAAGAGTTATAATGGATAGTCAGCAATCAATAGAAAATGCGTGCGTTGGATCCATTAGCTGTACTAAAACATAGGCTCTATTCAGTCTGCAACAATGCGAAAACTTAATGATTTACAACTAGTTTATTGTTTGAATTTGAATATTTTAATTTCATTGACATAAACTAAGTGCGTCAGGCATCCAAATTTATATTTGGCATCATATTTTTAAGTAAAGATCGGTTTTGTTAACCGGTATTTTTTTTAATTGAAGAATTTGTGTGCAAACCAATATGTTTTAAAAAGAATTTAATACATTAACAAATATCAAGAAACGTAGACTATTACCAAAATTATCCGTATTTTTAAAGAAAATTTACCGGTAATTTTGATGATTCATTTAAAACCGGTTTACCGGATAATTTAACTTGAATTTTAAATTAAATCTATACAAAAGTTATTTGATATATAGTAATACCTCTTTTTATTAACATTATTTATTGATTTAATTGAACTATTACAAATATTGAACTATTTTGTTTCTCTATTGTTATTTCTCGGACGGAATTTTCATTTCACGTAATTGTCGAAAAATTTAAAGCAACTTTTTCTAAATTCATTTATTTAAGTAAATTTAAGTGTTAATAGTAAATTATGAAAGAAAAATCTATATAATATATAAATAAATTTATATGTATCTTGTTTAAGATGAAGACGTATTTGATTTTGGTTAGAATGAGCCGTCTCTGTCGGCGCAATTACTGAATTTTCTTGGAGTATTGATCATTTGCCTGGTTGGGGCTGTAATCCGGTTTAACCAAAGGGTGGGTTTTTGTTAATAAACGCGTTCGCTCCAGGCATTAACATAACATTGAAGCGCAGCAGCACGTCTGGTGGATCGTTTATACAGGGACTTTTCTTTTCGCAACATCTGTTGCGTATTTGAATTATACTGAACATGCAGAAAGAAGAGTCTTACCTTTCTTTATGCGAGTGAAAAAATATCAGTTCGGACAGGCAGCGGTGATCCTGAAAACGAGAATAATCCCAATTAGCTTTAATCAAGAAGCTCTGATTAGCATCAGAAGAGAAGAGTAGAGAGGACGACGAGTCCTGTTATCTGAAATCAGGCGTATTATGCGGACGAGGGCGCAAGTTTGCAACGGGATATAATCCCATTATGACGCAGGAGAAGGATGTAATTCAATCCGAAAGTAGGAGTAGTCGTAGAAACCTCTCTCCGGAGATCGTATCTCTCTAACGACTTTTTACCCTGGAAATGATTAAATCCCGCTTAGACCGTTTAATAACTGCGGCTGATGTGCCCTCAACTGCTAAACTCTCAACAAAGTAGACAGAATTATAGATAATGATGGCCAATCCGAGATATAAATTTAATTAAAAACCATCATTGGGATTAAAGTACAAATAATCCACCAAAAAAAAAACTACAACAATGTTTGTTTAGTATAGTTATTTGTTGTATTCGATAATCGGAATGTCCCTGCATTCAAATTCAGCACAAAACTAAAATCGTACATACGTGCAAAACCGCAAATACAATATCGCCCCCGCTTTTTCATTTACACACGGTTTTTGTATGCAGCGCAGCGGTAGGATAAAAATGCACTTCACTCCAAAAAAAAAACCTTTTAATTATTTGCTACAGACTATTCGCAAATACCGTTCAACACACAAATATTAGTTTCCACTACAATTTTCTCATGCAAACATAAATTTATCTTATCTTTAATGTATGTATCAAATATAACTTCAACAACATATCAAATTATATGAATATTCACGAAGATACTTGAAACGCATACATTGTTTATTGGATTGGCTAGTAAGCTTGGCTCGAGCTAGTAAACCATAATTGAATTTAATCGTCATATTACTGTTTTAAATGGAAATCACTTAAATGTTTTGGAGTTGTTGAGAATCTCGATGTTCGCATGAATTGATAAAGATTCACTTAACACAACGAATCAATATTTGCATTATCCGTTTCAAACGAATTGAAATCGTTGTTATTTCAAACAAATCATCATTAGTAATGAAAAAAAAAGAAGTTTATGAGCGCGGAAATATGAAGTTGTCATCATTTATTCTTTGCATACAAAAAAAAGAGTTTTATTTCACACTAATAGAAAAACGAAATATTCTAATATTGTTATAATCTACTGAATGTTACACATTCTGGCTTAGGCTTTTGATCAATTTTGTAAACACAAAAGGATCAAAAGACAAGGATATAAAAGTTTGATTCAAAAAAAAAAAACGCATGTAAGTATTAGGTTTTTTGATCAAGCTTCTCCTGTTTAGTTCAAGATAAAATGTATCGAGTGTCGTCCACTCTTGTTTGTCGCAAAAGAAGTATAGTGAAATCTACTTGAACGGCAGCTCTCAGCGATGAACAGGATACGTGACCCTCAGACAATTAATTAATCGATTAAGAATTTAAGACTGCTAAACGATCTAGCTGTAACTTTTAAGATCAAATATTAATATTTAATAATATTGTATACAATATTTATTCCAATAAAGAATATAAGTCTTTAGGTTTAGAAAACCAGGAAATCCGGATAATCGCGTCATTACAATAGTAATGTACGATTATCAAAAATTTATAGATTTTCTTGTCAAAACAATAATAAATTATTAATTTCAATTACATTTTCAACGTATTCATATTTCAATTTGAAAATACTAACGGATGCAACAAACAGCGGAAACGGCGTTAATAATAAATTGTATTCAGAAATAATGAAATCTTCCAATTCGTAATTGTTATTGACATTGACGAGGTGTCAAAATTGTGAGAAATATGGACTGTTTCTCACAAAATCCATCGAAATGATGATTGACGTTCTTGTCTGCCGTTGCAGCTTCAATTGGTCGGAACTTGAAATTGAAAGCGCGTTTCGACAATTAACAGAATTAGTGGTCCGTTTTTCAGCGACGGCTATTCTGATCCGCGATAAACACGACCAATCTTTCATTTGAAGCCGCAATTGGGCTTACTTTGACAATTGATTTATGCCCCGTCGTCGTTTAAATTGAAGCCTCCGTGATTGTTATTGGACTGAGTTTGCTGAAGATGCGGGATTGGCCTCTACTCAAATTAACTTCTCTTGTTCTTCATGGCCAGAGGAGGAGATGTGTTTCATTTCTGAGACGGCGAAATATATTTAGAGACCGGAACGGCATTGTTCCAGGACGCGGCGGTAAATCTCGCCACGGTTCCTCGCTCAAATCGGAATTTATAGCCGTTATGTTCCAATTTACTACGAACTTCTTTTAACGATTATTCATTTTACAACGTGAACGAATCAAGTTCCTTTCAATTGATAAGCGACGTTCTTATCGAAGTATCAAGGGGTCGCCTCTATTTTAAGAGTAATTACAATCGGATGAACAGGAGAAGTCGAAAAAAACAACAACAAATTGGGAATTTGTATATATCGAAGCAATTCGATTTGGAAAGTCTTGTTGCTGCAAATCAAAAGTGTCGGCAGAAAAACGCTGACCTTCCTCATGATTCATGGCGCCTATCGAGATTATATTTATACATCACTCGGCGCTCAACTCACATACAAAGTAGATCCCGAGAAGTCCTTATCGACGCGCTCCAACGAAGAAAGAAGTAAAAAGTTCAACGCGCTTTCCGCTATTATCATATTTAGCTACAATTATAAACGTTAAATTAAGATATCTTATTACATAGTTTCAGTCAGTCGTTCTAGCAATCAAAGTCTTCATACAATATACGTGCTTAATTTCTCCTGAAAGTTGTATCTAATAAAATTTTAAATTCCAATTGTACTAAGCATAAATTGCACAAATGAATCAAAGAAAAACATATAGTCAATGATATTTTGGGAATAACACATCTTTCAATATATTAAGTAAGTCAATCATCGTTGCACCTTGAAGTCTACCAAATCCAATCTTATTCTATAAACAACTCAATTATTTTCAAAGCCGTCAGACGTAAAGAAAATGAAATTTCTATTTTTATAAAATATTCGAAATAATCAAAGGATGCTTCGCCAGTAATATTCACTAATAATGTTTACTTCAGCCAATCCAAAAATAATTTTCCAATTTAACAAAAATAAAACAGTCTATTTACTAATACTTATAAACAAATGAAAGATTCATGTGCGATGTGATCATCTTTGAGGATTGTTATTAACAGAAAGCGTTCAGTTAACGTACATTGTGCTTACGCAATTTGTCGTATGTTTATCTGTTTGTACGTTAATCCGAATCCATATATAAATACATAATATTAATACTATATATGCTATTATTTGATAAACTTCGTTCGAACGAACGTACACTTTTTCAAAATAATTTTGAATGAACTTAATTTGCAGGAAATATAAATTATTTGATTGACTCATTTTGCAATTTATTTACCTATGATTGTTCGGATTAAAGTACAATTGTTGCTTTCCTAAATTGCTATAATATTTCAATGAAAATAGATAATAATTATATGTTGTGCGTGTGTATTATCAAGAGATTTTTAGTAATTAATGTTTAACGGTGGGCGTTTAACACGGATTACCCAAATATTTGATCTAAACTGTATTAATACCGGTGCAATACACCTAAGTTCGAGGCGGTTGTGGATAAATCACCATGCGAAATTTATGGTCTACGTGCCGGCAATGCGAATGGGAATTATAGTCTGGACCATCGAAGTCTATACAAACTCTCTCTCTCTACCAAACCATCACCTGGCCTCTTCGATTTTACGCTCACGTGGGCATACGGCAGACGTCAACCTCCCATTGTGAATGACAACAATGGGAGTTTGCAAAGGGTCTGGCGGCTAATAACCATTTTGACCAACAATTATTGTTTGCAATATTATTGCGTGTGAGTTTAACTAGATTTAGCTAAAACTGCGGACAGCTTGGATTCGAACGCACTACCAACCACCACCATCCACCCTGCCAGGTGATCGATAATCGCTCGTCCGCATTCAGGCTTTATGTACAGTCCATTAGGATCCTTTCGTTGGTAATTACTCAACTGTTCGACATCGGCAGGAAAAGAGTGAGTGTGTGTGTCGGCTTGCACGAAGCGTGGATATGCCGGCCGCATCATGCACGCTTCGAATTGAAAATTGAATCGAAACTAAATGAGCGAAACGAATGTATGCTGATAGGATGCGATTGAATAGCAGAGCGAGAGAGAGAGAACTAAGTACGTTAATTGGAACAGTTTAACTTGATTTAAAACAGGCGTACAATCCTATTTCAGACTGCTCAATTGTAAAACTAATTCGGTTTATAATACTAAACGTATTACGCACATTTCATTTCTAAGCAAAATACAATGTTCAATTAATAAAATCTATAACTCATAGAAATTAATCTAACAAATTTAGTATACTAAAAGTAAATATTTGACAATAAGAAAACAAACTCTAGATCAGTGTTTATCAACCTATGGGTTAAAAATGACAGCTGTCAAATAAATATGTTGGGTCGCGAAATGACAGCTGTCACCTTGTGTTAAAGCTGAAATACTCTTAGCAATTGTGTCGCTAATTACAAAGAAATACGTTGGGTCGCAAAATAACAAATATCACCTTGAATCGAAATGGTAAAATACTCTTAGCAATTGTAAACAAATGGAGAAACGCTGCTCTAGATGACGTTTATCTGTCACTTCATGATTGACAGTTAAGGAAAGTTAAGCGTTAATTTAATTTCAAATTACACAGTCTTAATACTAATAAACATTTGCAATTAAAATGGAATTGATGTGAGAGTGCATGAATGAAGAAGCAACAGTAGCTTCTAAAGTTTTATGTGTCTGATTAATGGATCGCGCAGGAAATGATGTTAACGGATTTCTTTTTCAACATTTCTCTGCCGATTGCGATCTTGACATTTTGAACATTGAACATAAAAGCAAAAATGAGACGTAACGGAAATCGTAACTAAAATCAATATTTGAATCAATAAAGTTCTAAATAATTGTGAAATATATATATAAATTAAAGCATT